CATGCAGAAGATGAAACGGAAAATGATGGAGAAGATGGTTAATGATTATGGACATAGTACTAGTTGAGTGTGGAAGGAGAGAAAAATCAAGCTTGGGTTGTAGATATAATTTGACAGAGAGAACAAAAGGAGAAAGACAGAGTGTGTGTGTGTGTGTGTGTGTGTGTGTGTGTGTGTGTGTGTGTGTGTGTGTGTGTGTGTGTGTGTGTGTGTGTGTGTGTGTGTGTGTGTGTGTGTGTGTGTGTGTGTGTGTGTGTGTGTGTGTGTGTGTGTTGTTTTGTGCTCCTTGGGAGCAGGTTACACTTTCTGAGCTCCGTGTTCTTGGCTTTCTCCCAAGTTTTCTGCCTGCCCAGGGCGACTCTGGCGTAGCCAGAGTCGACCCTGGAGCACCCTCGCACACTGCCAAGGTAGTGCTGCATGATTGGAGCGCGGAATCGCGATGTAGCTTGCAGGACAATTTACTTCGATATTGTCACTGCTGCGTCGGCCGTGGTCCACCACTCGCAGTGGAGTAGCTGTCCCTCGAGTGCTGTGAAGAATCCAAGCTCGAAGAATGCAGTGGTGGGAATTGCGGATTGGCTGGTGGAGTGCTGGAACAACTCGTTGTCTTCAGTGGAGTGGACGAGCGAGTGCGGAGAGGAAGGTCCCAATGGCGGAATGGTGGGAATTGAAACTTCAATCTTTCGTCGTCATGAGTGCACTGGTCAAGCGTTGTGGAAGTCTGTCGGATTTGTGAGGCCTTGCCCTGCCGCTTACATCGTCAACGTGGAAGAACTGCTAGTGGAGTCCTGGTGGGATTTCGGATGCCCACACTCCTTTTGCTTGGTGGATTCTTTCGTGGACAGTGTTTTTTCGTGACGTGAAATTTTGATTTTTTTTTCCTTCCTGTTCATTTTCAGTCGTTGTCACTGTAGCTGTCAGGTTGTTGTTACAGTATAGCAGCCGTCCGTTCTGCTCCATTGTTTCATCTGTTTTGCCAGTTCTGCTAGCTGATCCTCTTTATTTGCCACTGCCCCTCATAGTGCTCATGCTTGGGTGGAGGGCGGCGTGACCCGTTTAGGGTAGCTGTATCATAGTAGTAGTAGTAGTGTGTGTGTGTGTGTGTGTGTGTGTGTGTGTGTGTGTGTGTGCGTGTGTGTGTGTGTGTGTGAGAGAGAGAGAGAAAGTTACATTTGTTAGGTACCTCCTCCCGTACCTTTTCTAGCTGGCCTGCATGCACTTGCGTACTCACCTTTTGTCTCCTTTTGTTCCGTTGGCCTGGGTAGCTACTTGCGCGCCCATAATTGCCGTAGCTACCCAGGCCCTTTATCTTGCCGTTCAGACTTGCTCTCTTTCTCACTCTTCAATAATCACCATGTAGTCGTTTCGTTCGTCTTGGTCTCTTGTCCCGTCTCTAATAAATGTCGTTCCACCAACCTACCTGTTCCCGTCGTGATGTCTGGATAATGTGTCGTCAGTCGTCCTTTTTCGTATTCAACACACTTATAAAGACAGGTAAGTCTAACAAATGAGGACTGAGACCTCTACAACAGGGTTTTTACGCCTGAAAGCAGGTGCATGATTTAACAAGCAGGTTGTCAGTCTAGATTATATGCACAGATGGAGAAAAAATGCGCAGAATTTTTGTAATGAGATGAAAAGCAGAAATAATAAGAAAAGATGAAATGAAAACCTGCTCACAACCCCGCCCAGCCTTGCGAACTGGGTATGGTGGATTAAGAATCCGGGTTCAATGCTCGAGCAAGCGCTCTCCACTCAAGGTGTTCACAGCAACTGATAGGAACTCATATGGGGAAATTATAGAAAAGAAATAATAAGATAAAGAGAATAAATTTCAACGCACCTCAATAAACGGAGCCCCACATACAGTATCTCAGAAAAGTGGATCTTCCGACCAGTGTTTTTGTTGACGTCGCAACCAGATGATGTAACTGCTTCGTAGAGACGTCTTACTGCACAAATTACAAATAAATGTTATTCTTCGATTAGAAAACCCAAGCGCTTTCAGAGCCCTCCGAAGAGAGTCCGGGATGAAACCACGCACACCCACCTCAACCGAAAAAGAAACGACCTGCCACCCGTTTGCTCGGCATTGATCGGCCAGATCAGCACAAACTGTCAACTCCATCCAGAATACAATCCTACGACTCGTAGAGTACAGAACTATATCTGGTCTTAGGGTGGTAAGAGCAACACAGCTAGGGAAAGAAATCTTTGCACTAACTGAGTCAACAAGAAGTTTCCAGTCTGAGGCCGCTGACAGGAGATCAGTCGTAACCAACTTTCGTCTGGGCTGAACGCGAACTGGCTTCTCCCCCGCCTTGAAAAACGAGATGAAGTCAAGCTCATTTGAATTTTCGGTCTGTACGGTGTTTGCAGCAGTGCGGATTCGAATCTCCTCACGCATGTTCCTGACGATGACCCCGAGTACGTTGTCGTGCCTCCAGGTGTAACGTCCCTGGTCCAGCGCTATGCGACAAGCGCCAAGCACGTGGCGCGTAGTACAGGCCCAGGCACGGCACAAACTACAGTACGGATCCACTACGGTGTTTCCCCAACAGCGTAGGTTCATCGGAGAAGGTAGCACGTCGAGGGTTGATGCGAGAAGAAATTTCAAATCCTTACCAGTACCGCCGTACAAAAGGGATTTCCACGAGAGGTCCTGCCACATCACCGATGTCCACTCCAACCACTTGCCTTGCACCTGAAGAGTCTTCACCCTCAAAATCTGCTCCTGCGCGTTGATCTCCTTAAATGTTTGAAGGAGATCCTTCCTCGGGGGTTTGGAATGCTGCTTCGGAGCACGAGCACCCAACCCTGCACGATGACTTGACGATGACGGTGGACGGAGAGTCCCTGAACCGACTGATGCCTCTGCACACTCCAGCTCTATTGTCGCCGCATGCCGCTTTGTCAGCTTCGCATCCTTACTCCGACGCAGAGTGTACAGCGCACTCATGCGCGCGTCCCCACTCGATCGAAGAATGTGCCATTTGATGGACTGGCACTTTTCCACACCGTAGGAAGGTAGTGGAGGCGTAAGCCAAAGCGTTTGCGACTGCCAATAAAAAGAATGGCAGAGTTTGCGCATCGAGGTAGGCCTGACCATTTCTTCAGAAATGGTGAACACATAAAGTGCAGTTCACGAACAAAACCTTGTGTGAGTTCAAGAACCTGGAAAGACCAAGAAAGCCTGGGCACTACAAGATGATGGTAAAGCCATAGCTTGTGGTGGTCTTGAAGCCAAGAGCCATCTACTTTTTGCATGAGAGATACAGTGAGTTGACGGATGTCTTCCCGCTGGGTCTGCTCAGAGCAATCAGCATGCAGCCTTCGCCCCAGGAACTTGAACTCTTCGGTGTCAATGAAAGCGATCTTCCTCCCTGAGATCGTCAGGCAGGGATCGTAAGGTTTGTACCGGCCATCTACAAGCTTTGCTGCACTGCTTTTGCATTTGTGCGGCGCCGCCTGCATACATTGGGTCCACGAGAGAAAGTCCTCCGTGACCGCAATGAGTTTTTGACAACCTGCACTAAATTTGCTATGGAGGCCTAAGTCATCAGCAAAAGCTGTTTGGGACACTTGCAAAGGGGCAGATTTAAAATCATAGGAGAGGCAACTTAATTCAGGGGCTGCAAGTGAGTCCAGCAGAAGCTGGAAACAAATATTGAAAAGGACCGGGGACAAGGGGCACCCCTGGAAAACACCAATGTTGTATTTAAAGGTGGGAGTGTGTGGTTGTACGACGAAAGCGCAAAGACTGTCGTAGTAGGAAAAAATTAATTTCCTGAATTGCAAAGGAAGGCTGTAGTGGGTTAGAGCATAGTGTATCAGATTGTGGCGCACTGAACCAAATGCATTCTTCAAATCTATCCACGCAATGCAAATTTGGCGTTTTGCCGTCTTTGCATCACGCATCGCCTCATAACAAAGTGATGTATGCTCTAAAGCACCCAGCCTTTGCAGGCATAAATCCCTTCTGGTTGTCACCATCGAAGAACTTATTGCCTAGCATATGTTTCAAGAGGCGCTTTGCAACCAAGGTGAAAAAGATTTTCCCGGACGTGTTTGCTAGAGCAATAGGTCGGAATTTCGAAGGATCATCAGACACCTCCCCCTTGGCCAGGAGTGTGACACACGCTACCTGCCACTGCCTTGGAATGATCTTGCTCTCCCAAACCCGCCCAAAGATGGTGAAAAGAATGGATTGAAGGGAGGGACAAAGCTTCCAAACTATGTAAGGTATCTTGTCAGGACCCGGTGCAGAGGTGTTGCGACACTTCTTCAAAACATTCTGAAATTCAGTCCATGTAGGGGTCCCTCATCGACTGGGTGGGAGCAATCCCAGGGCTTCCCTGCACTGGGGCAGGATTCGTACAAAGTGGCACGATCCTGGTCTGCATAATGTATGTTGGAAGTACTCAAAGCAGGTAGTGTCAGAGAAAGTGGGTTTGACATGGTTGGTTGGTTCAAACAATTTCTTTCCGAAGGCATATGGGTCCTTGAGAAAGGCATCCTGGTCCCTCTTGTTATTGAAATCGACTAGTCCCCCCCCCCCCCTCACACCATTCTAATCCATACTTGATTGACTATGAGCCACCAAAGTAGTGTGGTATGCTGCTTTGCTGCTTCGAATTTAGTTTGACCGTACTTTTTTTCACAAGAAACACAAACCTCGAGAACAAAATACTGCATGATAGAGGTGGCTGCAGTTGCAGCTGTGGCGGTGAAACGGGAGTATCTCCGCCAACCTGAGGTCTCGGCTTCAGCGACATTTCGGTGCACCGAACTGTCCAATGGTCTCGCCGTCGCACCTATCTGCTCCGTTTGGATGTTATTCTTTTTCTTCAGCCGTCCAGGTAGGAAGGTCGTTGGCCTGCATGTTGGAAAGGTGTGTGAGCTAGGTGTCAAGTCATTGGACGTTACAGTACTCCTCGTCAGTTTGTGCCAATTATTTCTTAATGAACTGCAAGGAGGAGAAACATTGCATCACAGGCTACTCACGTGGAATTCTGCGTAAACTGTTGGTGGAACCCATTTGAGATACCATCTTGAAAGTATTGACTTGATGATGTCCATACCATGTAGGCATCCTGTATAGATGTGATATCGGCAATGCAGGTCAGCACTACAAGTTCTCCCTTGAAAGTGTCAATCTTCGACGGTAGCGGGTTGAGAAATCTTGACTGAGCTGGATTCCAAACAAGGCAAATAGATAAGGATACATCAAGTGAGCAATAAACAGGAGTACGTTAGGGGCGATCCGTAAATATAGATATTTATTCCCGTAGCTATGCAGAAGACGTTACTTCAGTAACGTCTGGCGCTAGCCAGGGTCCACACAGCTTTAATTTGGTATTTGTGTGTTTGTTTGTGTGTTTGTTTGTGTCACGCCTGGCGCTATCCCGTATCTGACGGCAAAAAATCATAGGGATGTTATAAATTTTTCAATTCTCCTATTTTTTCAGCCATATCCTGGGATTCGAACCCGCACTATCGCCCTACATGCATTCCCCCATACACTTCGCATTCATACCCATTCTTCCAAGTTGCTTCACGTTATGATCTTGCGTTTGAAAGCCCTATTCGAATATTGCGGGCAGCTGTATGTGGCCAGCTGTGTTTGATGGTACGGTACGGGAGACGGTGTCGTATTACCCTCGATCGTACCTGTCCCGTACCTATCCCTACCGTACCGTACCATCAAAGACGGCTGGCCACAATGCATATTCAAATAGGGCTTTCAAATGCAAGATCATAATGTGAAGCAACTTGGAAGAATTAGTATGTATGCGAAGTGTATCGGGGGATGCATGCAGGGCGCGATAGTGCGGGTTCGAATCCCAGGTTATGTCTTTAAAAAAAGGAATTTTTTAAAGAATTTATAACATCCCTATGCTTTTTTTTTGTCTAGGTCATCAAGGCAAAAAAGCATAGCGTAGGGCCCTGAGCTTCCAAGCTCTCTCGTTTAGAAACGAAAACTAGTCGCTTAGGGGGGAGGGGGTTGAGCGCCTGTTTGTTTCTCGAGTAATATAGATGCACAGTTTGTATGTGCGGGCATGCCCAGAAAACTTCATATGCCCAGAAAAAGAAAAAAATATATCAATATTGATGTAAAGTTTGCATGTGTTCGTCTCTCAGGTAGGGGGGGGGGGGGAGTGGGGTTGAAGAGAAATAACTAGTTTCGTTTCTAAATAAAAATCGGTATTTACAGATGGCCCCTTATATCCATCGAGTAAGGGAGCCTCGCACACACCCCAAGCCCATGCCTGACTGGAACACATGCATGGATGCGCGCCAAAGACACAGATACAGATACAGACATAGACACACGCAGAGAGACAGACACAGACAGATATACAGACAGACTTACACAGACACAGACACAGACACAGACACAGACACAGACACACAGACACACAGACACACAGACACACAGACACACAGACACACAGACACACAGACACACAGACACACAGACACACAGACACACAGACACACAGACACACAGACACACAGACACACAGACACACAGACACACAGACACACAGACACACAGACACACAGACACACAGACACACAGACACACAGACACACAGACACACACACACACACACACACACACACACACACACCTGTCCTGTTCCTGTAGAGCCACTGCCACAGGGGTCACGTGGGCCCCGGAGGGGCATCAGAGAGGAAGATGGAGCACGCAGCCTGATGACGCCGGAGATGGTGGGGCAAACGGAACCGGCGAGAACACACGCATACATGGCTGAACGAATTACGCTGCTGGGCAGTCGGGCGCGGGCCAGTCCTCGAGCACCGGTGACGACCGCGGCCTTGCACAGACCGAAAGCAGCGGGCACACACAGCACAGTGCGCAGCACAGCAGGCATCCTGCACATAGACTTGCCGGGGCTCGGGAGGCTGAGGCTGAGGTGCGGAACAGCGGTGAACAGCTAGACCACCCTTGCTGCGAAACCAACGCCCACAATCTCCACAGTGGCAAGCCCCTCGCTGCTCAGCAATCGGCTTTGCCCGCTCAACCACACATTTGTGGCGAGCACGATCTCCAGGGCGCGAGAATGACCGATTGCAATCCGCACATACCACTGGGTCAGGCTGAGGCACATTCTCCACAGGCTCGGCGTACATAGTCCGCCAGTCAGCGCGGGACTCACAGGCGATAGGGTACCATTCCTTGGTGAGGCCACGAACTCTTAGGTCGGAGACAACACAATCCTTCCAGCGCTTGCGAGGGCCATGTGCTGGGCGACGTGTGAGAAGTGAGCCAAACAGGATCTGTCTCGGCATCCGGCTACTGTCCATTCGGGCAACATGGCCCAGCCACTCTAGGCGACGCTGTGCGACCTTCACGCAGATGGTATCAGAGTCACCCCACATCTCCAACAGTTGGGCGTTGGTCGTGTGATTATTCCAGCAATCTCTGCGGGACACACCCAGGATGGAACGGATGCACCGCATATGAAAGACTGACAAACGTTGGAGATCGTGTTGCAATGGTGTCCAACACTCTGACCCATAGAGGAGGAGCGACAGCACACATGCATTAAACACACACCTCTTGATATGCAAATCAAGGTCAGGATTGCTGAAGATGGTTCCTTGCAAGGCGCCACAAGCACGAGAGGCATGCGCAATCCGAGCAGTGATGTCCTGTGTCGACCGGCCACCGCGATGAATGAGAGATCCCAGATACCGGAACTCCGAAACACATTCGATGACCGTGCCAGCTAGCTCGATTGGAGCGCAGTCCCCAGGCGAAACATCCCTACCTGCAACCAAGAACTGTGTCTTGGTAGCGCTAACTTTAAGCCCAAACTCAGCTGCGGTCGTGTCAAACACTGCAAGTGCCGTCTCCGCCCCTGCACGAGTCGTCGCGAAAAGTGCTGAGTCGTCTGCAAACTGTGACTCAGTCGCAATGGCAACCGGATCCGTCCTGGTAGGCTTGCGGTAAAGGTTATTGTCACCATCACAATGCCGGAACTCAAAACCAACACCGGGTACATCTCGGACTCGTCGCTGCCACACAGTCACCACCGCCCACATGAAGATGTTAAACAGCACAGGTGCCATGGTGCACCCCTGACGGAGACCATTCGTGACGCGGATAGGGTCAGTTGTCGTGTTCTCTACCCGAACCACCGCCGACATGTCAGTGTGAAAGGAACGGATCACGGCAAGCATGGGAGCGGGGATACCCGCTCGGGATAAGACTTCCCACAGGCAATCCCGAGGCACGGAATCATAGGCTTTCTTGAGGTCTATAAATACAAAGAAGCCTTTGCAGTCGTGCTCAATGGTCTTCTCGAGGAACTGCCGAACACTGAAAACCATATCTGTACAAGATCGGCCACGCCTGAAGCCACACTGAGACTCTGGGAGAAAATCCGCAGCCACGGACTGGAGACGAGTCTGGATGACGCTCGCCAGAACCTTGCCCACAACATCCAGCAGTGAGATACCCCGCCAATTATCACAGCGAGATAAATCCCCTTTCTTTGGGATGGGGACCAACGTGGCGTCCACCCACTCCTGCGGGACCACCCCAGCACGCCACACATCGCCAAACAGCTCCACAAGCTTGGCGGTGAGGTCAGGGCCACCCCTCTTCAGCATCTCAGGGAGGATGCCAGAGGCTCCAGCGGACTTGCCGTTCTGTAGGCGGGAGATAGCGCGGCTGACTTCACGGAGAGTCGGCGCCTCAGCAAGATGATCAGCCTCCTGTCGCTGTGGGATGTCGTCCAGGGCATTGCGATTCCATGCACTTGCCACGTTGAGAACACCGTCAAAGTGTCTTCCCCACCGGTGGCTCTGCTCCTCTGGTGAACTACAGATGTTACCGTTCTCATCCAGCACGGCGGAAGTGCGCACAGGGGCAAGGCCTTGGGTACAAGACTGGAGGTCATGTATGCACTTCCATACGACCGCTCCATTGAATCTCGACTCTGTGGCCGCCTGTGCCTTTATCCAGTCTACCCTAGCCGAGGATATGGAAGCACGCGCCCTGGATCTAGCCACCTTAAACGCTGTGTAGTGCGAGCAGTCGCGGCTCTGGCCACTACATAGCCAGTCGGTATAGCACCGATTCCGTTCATCTAGCAATGGCTGGATGGCTGACTCTGCCTCCCGAAACCAGTCTGGTTGGCGACGCCGGGAGAAGCCCAAGACAGACGCAGCAGACTTGTCGATAGCCGCCTTGACGTTGGACCATTTCTGATCTATGTCGTGCTGTTCTTGCCATGTATCTACAAGCTCGGTTGCAATGGTAGCTTGGTACCTTTCAGCAGGCGAAGGTGAGTCCGGGTCCGAGGTGCGCACCCGCAGCTGGGCAACATCATAACGGCGGCGCCGCACATTTGCCTGGTCGCGCTCCCGAACTAATCGTCCACACGGGAGTGCAAAAGTTAAACAGAGGAGTTGGTGGTCACTTCCACACTCAGCACTGCGCGCGACCGCAGTGTCCATACACCAACGGCGGTCCTCCTGGCGCACTAGAATGTAGTCGATACAGTGCCAGTTCAAAGTGCCTGGGTGCTGCCAAGTCCGCTTGAAGAGGTCTCGCTTGGGGAACCAGGTGTTACAAATACTCAACTGATTGAATGCAGCAAATGATAGCAGGTCAGCTCCTGAAGAGTTCAGTGCACCAAATCCATGCGAACCACGTACAGTGGACCACTCATCACCCTGCTCACTAGATCCAACTCGAGCATTGAAATCGCCAAGCACTACACAATGGTCAGTCTGGGGTACATCGTACAGAGTGCGTTGTAGATCGTCATAAAATAGTTCCTTGCATGCCCGCGACGCAGCAAATGTTGGAGCATAAACGCTGACCAGAGTGAGCCAAACATCCGGTCCATCAGCTGCACAGTACTTCAAACGTGCACTCACAATCCGAGAACTCACCGCGTTCCATACGCAGCCGCCAGCCCTCCACGCCGAAGTTGTATCACGATTCAAAACAAGAGCAACTCCCTCACCTCGACGTCGATTATCCTCTTCGCCAGGAGTGGGGCGGCCCGAACAGATCACAGTAAATCCGTTGACAGCGTAGATATTTTGTCCAAACCAGTGGGTTTCCTGCAGGCCTGCCGCCGCCACTTTCAGCCTTTTCAGTTCAGAAATAACTCGGTGAATTTTTTTGTCTTCCACGACGCGTCCAGAAACACAAGCAGTGTCGATGTCGCCGTCCCGCTCACGTTCCATGAGCCCAAACACAGCAGGCAACGTCTCCCTCTCCCTCTCTTCTCTCTGACAGATTTCATCGCGCGATGTTGTGGAAATCCGCTCGGGGGCTTGTCAAACCTCCGCGAGCGGCGACGTCGGGTACAACTAAAAGTGACGGCACCAAATTGCCGTCCCGTCTCTCAGCTGTATGCTTCCCTCCGTCATGCGCTTTCCCTGGCCTAGAGGCGGCCCAAAGAGGGCCGCCTCAGGCCTCCGTGAAGTTTACAAAGGTCGAGGACTTCCACACACACACACACACACACACACACACACACACACACACACACACACACACACACACACACACACACACACACACACACACACACACACACACACACACACACACACACACACACACACACACACACACACACACACACACACACACACACACACACACACACACACACACACACACACACACACACACACACACACACACACACACACACACACACACACACACACACACACACACACACACACACACACACACACACACACACACACACACACACACACACACACACACACACACACACACACACACACACACACACACACACACACACACACACACACACACACACACACACACACACACACACACACACACACACACACACACACACACACACACACACACACACACACACACACACACACACACACACACACACACACACACACACACACACACACACACACACACACACACACACACACACACACACACACACACACACACACACACACACACACACACACACACACACACACACACACACACACACACACACACACACACACACACACACACACACACACACACACACACACACACACACACACACACACACACACACACACACACACACACACACACACACACACACACACACACACACACACACACACACACACACACACACACACACACACACACACACACACACACACACACACACACACACACACACACACACACACACACACACACACACACACACACACACACACACACACACACACACACACACACACACACACACACACACACACACACACACACACACACACACACACACACACACACACACACACACACACACACACACACACACACACACACACACACACACACACACACACACACACACACACACACACACACACACACACACACACACACACACACACACACACACACACACACACACACACACACACACACACACACACACACACACACACACACACACACACACACACACACACACACACACACACACACACACACACACACACACACACACACACACACACACACACACACACACACACACACACACACACACACACACACACACACACACACACACACACACACACACACACACACACACACACACACACACACACACACACACACACACACACACACACACACACACACACACACACACACACACACACACACACACACACACACACACACACACACACACACACACACACACACACACACACACACACACACACACACACACACACACACACACACACACACACACACACACACACACACACACACACACACACACACACACACACACACACACACACACACACACACACACACACACACACACATACACACACACACACACTCACACACACACACACACACACACACACACACACACACACACACAGACACACACACACACACACACACACACACACACACGGAAGGTGGCTACAGTCATGCCTATCTACAAAGAGAACGGCAAGCCTGCGCAGCCAGCCACCTACAGGCCTATCTCCCTGCTGCCGGCTGTAGCTAAGATTCTGGACGCCATCATCGCCAAGCACCTCACCAGCTTCCTCAATAGGCAGGGATTAATTACCGACCACCAATATGGCTTTGTCTCCTGCAAGTCCACACTCGATCAGCTAATTGTCCTGTCTTCAAGAGTGGCTAAAGCACTTGACAAGCACACTGACTACCACGCTCTATTCTTGGATTTCGCGAAAGCGTTTGACAAGGTACCGCACCCTGTTCTTCACTTGGTTCACTAACTACCTCGGAGACCGGTCCTTCTGTGTCAAAGTTCTCTCTGCCAAGTCGCCGACCCACCCCAGTTTCTGCAACCGTTCCCCAGGGACTACTGATGTGCTTTTATTTGCCGATGACAATACTCTTGGGAGAGCAGTCGGAAGACATAACCAACAACCAATGGTCCACCCCCTCCAGGCCGCCACTGATGCCGTTTTGCAGTGGGCTGATTCAGTCGGAGGGTGCTTCAACCCCTCGAAGTCTTGCACCGCGCAGTTCTCTCCTAGAAGTCATGCAGAACATGCCCACCCTACTCATCCGAGCCCCGCACCTGAGTATGCAGGGAGATGATATGTCTGATGCAACAACCCACCGACATCTTGGAGTTATCCTGGACTCTAACCTTGTCTGATGTAACAACCCAACGACATCTTGGAGTCATCTTGGACTCTAACCTCGACTTCACCAGCCACATCGCCACCATCACGACGCAGTTCCGCCAGCGAGTGGTCCTGCTGATCCACATGTCCAAGAGTATCACACCAGCAGTTGCCAGCCGCTTGTACACTGGATATATTCGACCTGTGGTTGAATACGCCTCATCCCTCTGGCAATTTCAACTCTCCAGTGCTTAGGTTACTGCTCTTGAACGGGTACAGGCAAGAGTGGCTCGTGTGATTCTGCGGCAGTGTGGTGTGTATCCTCCTCAAACGGAGCCGAAAGCCTCGCTTTTCGCGCACCTCCAGTGGCCCAGCCTCGCATGGCGAAGACAATTCGATGCCTTCTTGAGCCCCACCACCTTGTCCATAGCCAGATGACGACCCTGGAGGACCTAGGCTACACAGTATCACACAGCGCCAGGCATCCCCGACATCTGCTTCCGCCTGCTAGAGCCAGCACACACACACACACACACACACACACCCATGCCACCTTTCTCTTTATCACCACTGCCACACGGAACTCCCTCCCGGCTGCCTTTCGTGCTGTATCCAGCCCAAAATGTTTTATCGCTCTTGTCCGCACCGCACCCACTTTGCTATCACCCGTTATGAGCCCTCTGGTTTCATTCCACGTAGAGTAGCGATGTCATAGAGCACTGTGTTAAATTACTACCACCCCGCATCTTTCTGTCTTTTCTTTTATCCTCCCGGTGGGTTTGTATACTTTCAAGTAAGACCATGATTAACGTTTTGCTTTGAGGGGGGGGGGGGGTGGGGGAGAGAGCACAGTCCACCGGGGCTTGTGCTAAGTTGTGGCCTGACAAGAACGGTGCAGTTTGGTTTATTATGGCCCTGTGCACTTTCCGCCGCCGTAGAATGCCACCTGAATTCTCTTATAAAATAGAAGAAAAAAAGCTATCAGTGCACCTCTTCAGTTCCGCCAAGAGTAGATAAACAAGAGTGTGCAACTCCGGATCTCTCCTGCATAATCTGCAGATACCCCCGCTCACGGCAGAATTTTTTGTTGACGTCACCTTTTATCAGAAGAACGCGCATTTTGCCGCAGAGCAGTGTGAGAGCACGTGCTAGGCACCAACCTTGTAGTGTAAAGCCGGCCAAGAGCACGAGGGAAAACTATCAGAAAGACTCGCAGCGCGTGCGTCGTCGAAAAGATTACGTCAACAAAAAATTCCGCCATGGGCCTACCCATCCGCGAGTTGCACACTCTTGTTTATCTACTCTTGGTTCCGCCTACACTCCAGGTGTCTGGTCATTTTAAAAAGTTTTTCGACCAAGAGTGGTACAAACAAAGTTATTTGCTTTTACAGGTGTTTTGTTGTGCGAAACTTTAGCCACTAATGATGTTCTCCAGAACAACGAAACGTCTGGAAAAGGTTTGTGAAAACTCTAAAACTGTTGACCACTCTCGATCGAAAAGGAATTTTACTTCTTTGCCTTTTAGGCCACACTTTGTTTTTTCTATGTTTCTCGTCGGCAAATTTTAACAAAAGGTATGCGGGCGGACGGAAAAAAACAAAAGCCAAGGAAAAAACAAGACCAATTTCTACTGAAAACTGTATACATTTTACTTGTATATGCGTGATTCATACAAGACACTGCGTATGACATGTATAGAGTACATTGTACAATCATGTACATGTAGTCCAATACATGATTGCACTACATTATCACATCAGCCCACGAATATCAGGCAAACTGCAACAATGAGAGTATAATGTTTGATGAATACGAGATGGCGAAGAGAACATACATTTATCTGCTATTTCATCAACAAACGTTTTCCCACTGGTCATTTTTGGTTTTGTTACTTCAACGTTCTTGTGTCCGCTTATCAAACTCTTGTCTCCACGCTGCTCATCTTTTCCTTGCCATGCGTCTATTGCTTGGATTTTCTGCCCACGACATCGTTCCACAGGCGCCAATTGCCACGGAACTCGTCCGACTTACGGTATTCCTGGGACCCACGAGGCTCAGCTCAGGCAGTGAACGACTGAAAGCTTCGTCATGGCAGCCTTATCGCAGAGAACGTATAGGACGGGGAACGCTCCTTTGCTGCTGTGGTGCAAACGTTTACGATTTTGATTGACGCATCTAGCTGCTGCAGCATGTGCAGTGTACACACATGTACGTAGTACACTGTATGAACTTTTTTTTTCTTCCGAAATTTCTGAAAACCTACGCGGGCGATGACGAGAAACATAGAAGAAACAAAGTGTGGCCTTACTTGCAGAATCTTCAGTTTGTGATTTTGGCATCCAGTGCACAGTACAGTAGATGAACACACAGTGAAACCTGTTTAAGGCGACCGCTCAAGGGACGAGAAAAAGTGGTCACCTTGGCCAGGTGGTCTTCTTATCCAGGTTCAGTGGGCCACATGAACATATTCACTATACATGTACCGGTACTGTCGGTACATGCGATACATCATTTTGATCAGTGCATCACACTGCGCA